CCACTCGGGTGTGCCGTCTTCTGCTAAGAGCTCAAAGGGCGAAGCCAAACCGGGCCTGCCCGCCGCACTTAAGGGTCTCTACCGAAACCGTAAACCTGAATACACTCGTTGACTGAACTGGAGTCCTCCTGTAATACCATCCTGTTGTATACTACGCTGGAGCATCTTGCATCGAGTTGCATTTTTTCGTGGTAGTGTTTAAATGGCGGGGGCGAGTCAAAATTTGAATGTGTAACCGCGAAGTTCTCGTATTAGGAAAACTAATGACCGGGATTTTCCTGCTGCGTGCTTCTAGTAAAGGAAATTATCTTACAGAACAGCAATGACACGAAAGAATATAGGTTTATCCTTTCGCCAATTGCTCTAAGTACACTGGAGAGCGATACAGTCGCTAGCATCAGGGACACAGAATCCCATATATCAGCCACACACCAGCCCACATAATCGATACAGGGGCCCACATCAGGGACATAGCCACACACACCAGCGATACAGCACCACATATCAGTGACAAAACACCCCCATTGAAAAGGGGGGGGGGTAGGAGGATTCAACACTACCTACATTATTTTTTTTCTTTTTTTTGGTTGCGGACGTATGCACACACACATGCATACGTATGCACGAATATACATAAAGTATTAATACCTCCTCTCGCGAAAAAAAATTCCCAGTGTGCCCCATTAGTTACAAGCTGCAGCTGAGCAGGCAGGTGGAACGACACACCGGTAAACAACCGAGCGTCTCATAACAATGGAGTAATGATGAGTACCGCGCCAGAGGCGTTGCAGATAGGACATCACATCGAGGGCTCGAACGAGGTGAGGCTGACAAAGAACAAAGCATATATGCGTTGGTTGTGGCCCACTGAAACGTTAAGTAACGTTAGCTTGACGTTAACTGTGAGTCAAAGCTGCGTTAGTGTGGGTGAGCTAAAAAATGGGCCCCGTATCTGCATGTTATTCTGCAAATGTCGTCGAAAGACGGTAGTCTTGCGTGGGGAGAGAATGAACAATTTATTTGATGTTCTGCGCAAGAAAATCCGTTATTGGTATTTTGGAGACGCTGCGTTAGCGTGCCTCGAGCGTGCAGCGGGGGCGAACGAGCGCATCAAGTCACGTCACACGTGAGAAATGAGCGTCATCTGGCAGTTTTCTTGGAAAACGAAGCGCGTGGCTCCGAGACGGGTGTGCGCGCCCGTCTCAGAGGTGATAAGGTGTAGAACGCGAGGCGACGGGTAGGTGCCACCACCGTCTCGTCTTAGCAAAGCGTTGGAAACACTCGCCTTTTCGGGCAAGTATTGCATGGTAAGCACAGCGTGATAAGCGCTACGGTCCTTAAAATTACTTATGTGCGCCTTTTCTAGTAAAAGATGCACACGCAGAATATATACGTGTTGTCACGGTGCCCCAGACATGCGCGATAATTGCTTATCGATTGACAATTGCACAAGTACGAATGCTAAACCTTGAGCAACATTGGTGGGCGCTGTAGATGGGGACGGCCGTTTCAAGTGCCCGGTGCCGTTAAGAGTGGACAAACACAGAAATGCACAGACCGATGGACCAAAACTTTTGCGTCTAAGGTCCCTAAGAAAGACTATCGTCTTTAATAACAGAAAGAACCCCTGCGTTCTCATAACGCGCATGCGCGCTCGTACTCGGTTGACGGACGGACGCTGGAACGTATAGACAGTTTTAAAATGGAGGACCCTAAGCTTCGCGAACGCTGTCCGTTGCATTAGCTGCCACTGCGCATGCGTCATACGCAATTCTCTTGGGGTAACCACGTTAAGTGACCAAAATAGCTTATTTCACCAAACGGACGCTATCTCCGCATACCATGTTTTAAAACTGCGTTGCCCTGGCAAGTACACATACCCGACTGGTGGGATCGTTATGTTGCATCGACTTCGTTTCGTAGTTCTTTTAGATGCGGAAGCATCTTATACTCGCGCCTTGTAGTGCGCCGTCCGCACCGCTTCTCGAACATTCGACAGCTGACGCGCGCGCATGCGCCATCGCGCTGTCGCCCACTCTTCCACCATCTGTGCATCCCTTCCTCCTCTACACACCGCGCGCGCTTCACTCCTCCACCATCTGTGCACCCTTCCTCCTCTACACACCGCGTTCGACATCTACAATTCTCCTGATTCTCCAGTGGACGCGCATGTGGCGTCGCGCTTCGAGAACATTCAACAGCTGACAGTGCATGCGCCGTCGAGCTGTATATATACTCAAGGTCGGCGCTCGCTCGCTCAGTTGCCGCTCGTCGGTTGGTTTGTACGGCGCGTCGACGTCCAAGGTCGCGGTGAAATGAATTCCAACGAATCCACAAACACAATGATCGACGTCCCTTCGACCAGCGCCGCCCTTTCGCATACGTGTGTACGTGTTCACTCATTTAACACCCCCTCCTACAACCACGTTAACCAATTTAGCCATCGACCCAAGCAAGTCGCAATTTAACACCCCATTTCACAACCACGTTAACCAATTTAGCCATCGACCCAAGTAAGTCGCACTTTAACACCCCGTTAACCAATTATATGCTCCGCATCCTCCTCAGTGTTCCCCCGAGGGAAGCTGCGGGCAATTTTTTTGTTTTGTTTTTGCTCAATACGCTTTGCATCACGCGTTTACATATGTTAAATATGCTGCAGTATGGAATGGCTAAACTTCTGGTCACCGTTACATCTAGGAGAGTCAGGGGATCTGGACTAGCACGCCATAAGGGACGCCAAACCACCGTAATACAGTTTTGTCGTTGTGCATTTTATGAGTACGAAAACAATGCTCTGGAGCACTTGGCACGCGCTAAACTTCTTGTACGAATCGTGCGCGCGCCATAGACAGTGGTTCAGCACGGCAATTGCACTTCTGGCGGCATTGCTTCCTAAACATCTATGCAGTTTTCTACGAATAACCGAATGTCGCGAAAGTTAGGAGGTGGAAAGTTCATGAAGACCTTGCCATTTTTCAGCAGCGCTTTCGTCGCAGCAGTAGCGTAATTTGAATTTTTTTAAATAAACACACACCCTAATTTAAGTGTCGAAAACATCACCACAGGCAAGTCATTGCTCCTGAAGTTCGCTCGTGTAGTCGCTTTGAGATTCGTTACGCTTAAGGCGTTGCATCATCGTTACCTAATAGAATATGAAATTTCTGCACTGCAATTCGGGACCGATGCAAGGTGCAGGTAATGCGGATTGATTGATATGTGGGGTTTAACGTTCCAAAACAACCACATGATTATGAGAGACGCCGTAGTGGAGGGCTCCGGAATCTTCGACCACCTGGTGTTCTTCAACGTGCACCCAAATCCGAGCACACGGGCCTACAACATTTACGCCTCCATCGGAAATGCAGTCGCGGCAGCCGGGATTCGATCCCGTGACCTGCGGGTCAGCAGCCGAGTACCTTAGCCACCAGACCACCACGGCGGGGCCAGGTAATGCGGAAAGTTGGCCTAGTCGGTACCGTGCATAATAGGACACGATTTCAAGCGTACAAATCATCGGGAGTCAGCAGGAACAGTTGGACACCACACGCGAATTCGTCTTGTCTCCGAATCCTTTTACCCCGATAATCGTGTGCCACTATGCACGGTGCAGTGTACTGACAGATTGAAACGAGACTGTGGAAGTGCACGGCCGATGGCACAAGGAGCGCTTCCTGTGGGCGCCGATTGGATGCGAGAAGTTGCATCGTGGTATAGCACAAGGTCATGCGCGTTCTTGGCGCGCGATCACTGCTTCCAGTCGCCACCGAGCTGATGATGATGATATCTGAGGTATTTATCATGTCCCAAAACCTCGACATGATAGTGAGGGGTGCCGTATATAGTGGCGGAATACAGAAATTTCGACGGTCTCGTGTTCTTTGACGTGCACTGACGAAGCACAGTACACGGGCCTTAGCCATATCTCTTACACCGAAGTGTGACCGCCGCAGCCGAGATCGAACCCGTGGGGCCATTGAGCTGTTCGATGATCCCATTGAGGTATTGCAGTGCAAAAACACAGAAGTAGTAGTGGGCATGAGTGGCGCTTACTTGCAGCTGAAAGGTTTCTTAGATAAGACACAAAAGAGGAACCATAAAGAGATGTGAACTCAAATGATCTGCGCAGTGGCCGCCAGATAAGAAACGTGCCGAGTTGCAAAAAGGTGCCAAAATAAAAACTTTAATAAACCACTTCAACACCTTATCACCATTGCGCTGGAATACTATCGCTAACGCCCTCATTTGAAACCATTACTATTTCGGGGTGATGGGCAAGAAGACGACGATGTCGCTGTGGCCTGTGTTCGCCTCTGTGGAGTAGCTGGCCTGCGTGGCATGTGGCCTAAGTTCTTGCTCGTGATTCGAGTAAAGATATTTTTTACAATGCATTGTGTGCGCAACGACGGCGAATACAATCTGGCGTGAGCCACAGTAACTCAACGAAACTTGGTAGAAGAGCATTGATGCGGTCATCCCCACTAGTAGGTAGGAGCCAGCTGTGGAATCAACGTAAATGCTACACCACTGCATCACCTTCACAGTCATCTCATCGCCTGTGCAATTTCTCCTCGGATTCATAACGCAGACTGCGTTCATCGTTGAAACGGTCACAGACAGCCCGAAAGTCTCAACGAAAAGCCAGCGCGGAGGAGATGAGGTCAAATCCAGAGCCGTAGCTGGTGCGCCGCTGGCCTCGCGCCCAGGCCCGCGCGCACTAGCGGCTGGTCCGCTGCGTTGACGAAGAATATTGCGGCCAACCAGCGTACATACAGCCGCAACAAAAGCACACGCCGGCGGCCACGAGGACGACCAGGCAGCTGCGCACGTCATGTAGCGTCCGCCGGGCACAGTGCCGGACGTGTCCTCCCGAGCCTGGTGTGGTTGGTGCCTCGTAGCTAGGCCATCGTGCATCCCGTGCCGGCAGCAGGGCTGAGCTCCGCTAAGGGAACCGAGAAACGCGCTGAGCGAGCTCGCGAGCCGACGACTAAACCACTGGTATGTCGAGGAAGAACACTGGTTTCTCCGGGACGGGAGGTGGTGGTGGCGGCGGCGGCTACTACCACCTACCTATAACCGACATTGTGATCACAAAGCGGGAAGGCCAGAAGGTAAGGCTTCACTTGCGGGCGCTTTCGCGTGGCCGATACACCTCTGGCTTTTTGTGAGTAGCCCTGTTCGCGGTTGTTCAATGGGGTTGATCGATGACGTGCCGCAGGTACCCGTGGCTTAAGATGACGTGGTGAGAGATTGATTAGCGCGTTGCTTGGCTCGATCTTGGTGTTAAGATAGGTCGAGAAATGGCTTTCGGTTCGCTTTGGCAGTAGTGTATTTTGCTTGCGTTAATGCTAATGGTTACAACCACAATGAAAGCTGACGTTCATGCCGAGTTATCGCAAGGGTGAAGGAAGAGAAGGCGCGTATGCATTGATTTTATTAGCAAGAGAATGTAAGGGTATTCGCGTGGTACCATCCGCAAGGGTCGCTACAGGGTGGCAGTCGCCGTGGTCCGCGCCTGGTTGTCATTGTAAGACTACGACTGGAGTCCTTGGCCGTGCCTGTTGTCTCAAGTATTTTTTCTCATATCAGACAGCCGTATGCCGAGTCGCGCAACGACTACTGCTATGTTGGTGGGGTGGCGCCTCCTGGCGGGCGGAGTAGCTCTACTGAATACCTCCTAAATTTTCGGTGAAGCAGCGTGGGGCCATAATGTTGACGGCTGGCAGCGCAAGAGACCGGAGCCAGGCCTTTGTGAGCAGAAATTACTCGCTTCATTGACATTTTGGCATCCCTTACGAAACATAGTTTTCATTTGGATTGTGCTGACGGGAGTGTGAGAGAGAGAGTTGTGCTAAAAATCTGAGAACTTCATGAGAAGCTCTTTCAAAAAACCAATTGGAACCATCTTTAGTTGATAACCACAGTGAACGCGAATTATTCGCATAGTTTGCTGCTCACAGTGTGTTGACTGAACAGCTATAACTTCGTGATATACTTGGAACATATCACAAAAGGCGAGACCAAGAAATAGACCTCACGTATGACCCTCTACTCGCAACTTAGTTTATTTTAAAAGCGATTTTGCTTTTTCTGGGCCATATAACGAGCATATGCGCGTGCTTATTGTCAAATACAACACTGGTAAGTTTATAAGAACATATAACCTTGTCTCATAGACGCACGTGCGAGAAATGTGGACGGTAACCCTGATTAAGTAGGCCTGTAACCCTGATTAAGTATGTATTTGATAGCCAAGGATACTAGCATGATTGACATAGTGCACATGCGTGCTTTTTGAAAATGGGCATGCGCACATGGCAATAGTGATTAGGGTAAAAAAAAAGCAAAACTGTTGTTCCCATAAACTAAGCCCCAAGTAAAGCGTGCATTGAGTCTAACATTTCTTGGGCTCGCCTTTTGCGCTGTTCGCGAAATGCGTTTTAGCCATCTCGTCCAGTCTGCCATCCTACTTCAGCTCGCGCGCTGCGGGATTGTTCCCCGCAGGTCAAGACTGTGCAGGTTGTCCGTGCCGATGGTGCCGACGACGAGCTCATCGAGATGTCGTACGTCAGCACCAAGGTGATCGGCAAGGGAACATTCGGCGTCGTCCAGCAGATCAAGCTGGTCGACACGGGCGAGGTGTACGCCGTCAAGTGGGTGCGTCAGGACCGCAAGTTCAAGAACCGCGAGCTGCAGATCATCCGCTCCCTGTCCCATCCCAACATCACGCGGCTCTGCTACTTCTTCTGCACGCTGGACAAGAACAAGGACACCGTCTACCTGAACCTCATCATGGAGTACATTCCCGAGACTGTGCACAGGGTCATCATGCACTACAGCCGGAACAAGCACACCTTCCCGCTCTTTTTTATCAAGCTCTACATGTACCAGGTATCGTACATGCACGCTGGCTAGCACTCCTACGCTGGCTAGCACTCCTACGGCTAGCACTCCTACGCTGGCTAGCACTCCTACAGAAATACCCAGAAAAAGGTCGAAGCTTTTCTAAGCTTTTACTAAGTCGCGCAAGGCTTGAAACAACGAAATTTGACGTTGCTAAAGCCCAATCTTATTGCTTTTAAGTTGCTGCTATGCTTTATCTAACTAATGTAAGGTTATCTCCATGCGGATTCTCAGAAAATTTTTAGCAAGAAACCACAAAGAAATCAATGAGAATTTAAAAAAAAAACTTATTGGTTGTCGAACCATTTGTCCTGGTCCGTAATCACACACAGGACCAACGACTTTCTGGGGTGGTCGCTCTACCAGCTGATATAACCGAGGCGCTTGCAATAGGCAGTGCGAGGGCGAATTAGTGGGAAAAGTCAAAAAACATGGGCATGGAACGTTGTATTTCCTCCAATTGCGGGATTCCTAAGAACCAATTTGTAATATACTATGTGTGTATACCGATGTCGATGGTGCAAGACATCTTTCATGATTTCGCTCTAACACATCTCGAGCCGCCACTCTCTAGATTTTTTTTCGCCTTACATTATTTTGTCCGACTCTCTCACACGGTTACCTTCAGGTTCTGAGGGGACTGGCGTACATCCACATGCTGGGCATCTGCCACAGGGACATCAAGCCCCAAAACTTGCTGTGCGACCCCGACAAGTGCATCGTCAAGGTATGCGACTTCGGCTCAGCCAAGATTCTCATCAAAGATGAACCGAACGTGGCGTACATCTGCTCCCGCTACTACCGAGCCCCCGAACTCATCCTGGGCGCGACTGAGTACACGACAATGGTCGATGTCTGGTCGGCCGGCTGTGTTCTCGCCGAGTTCTTCATCGCGAGACCCGTGTTCCCGGGTGACAGCAACCTGGACCAGTTCTCCGAGATCATGCGCGTCCTAGGCACGCCCACCGAGGAGCAGGTTCTCCAGATGAACCCCAACTGGACCGAATGCCGGTTCCCAAAGCGCAAGGCGCAGGCCTGGGACAAGGTTCTCGATGGCAAAGGCACGCCCAAGGCAATCGATCTTCTGGCTAGGCTTCTGGACTACGTGCCCACTAAAAGAATGACCTGCTTCGACGGCATGGCGCATGCCTTCTTCGACGACCTGCGTCTCGCGGGGGCCACGCTGCCTGACGGCGGACCCTTACCGCCCCTGTTCAACTTCTCGGCCGAGGAGCTCCAGGTCAATCCGGCCATCAATCATCTACTACGGCCACAGCACGCTGGCGGTGCCAGCAACACCATGTCCAGGAAATCTTCGTTACCCCGGAAGTGACAACCGCCTGTCCTGTCCGAGCTAGATTTTTTTGTCCTCTTGCATGCTGGGGCCTTGTTCAATTCTGGATAGGAGTGGACCGACTGGGCTCAGTTAAATCGTCCAAGGCTTTTGTACCAAAAAAACACCAGGCCCGGAAACATTTTATCTCTTGGTGTTCTCTTCTATCACAATGTGGCTCTCTTGTCGCTTTTCTTTTCTTTTTAATCCGCCCTGCGCCATTAATTGGCCGACTATCTTGATGTCAACAAGAGAAGGAAGAACATGTGAGAAATAAGTACAGCGCCTCACTCATGGTTCAGCGGTGAGTTTCTTTGAGACTGGCGCGAGTACAGGTCGGCCACTGTGTTGCGGGATGACTATAGCCAGAACCGAGGGGCAAGTGGTGTCTTACCTGTGTATAAAATGCATGCTCTTTCACTCTCACCTCTTCCTGGTTGCAAGTTGTCGAAACTACGTGTGTGATTCACAGTGTAGTGCGTGTCTTATGTCATTTTTAAGTCGCCAGCAAAATTGCCCATTTCATGCCAATATGCGCACAGACGCGATAAAACGCACAGATTTTATTCCCACTAGTACCCTGTTCTTGTAAACTCTGATCATCTTATCCGTGACGAAACTGCTTACATGCCAGAAAAATAAAAATCAGTACAACTTGTCGATGGTCTAGCCTGTTATGCGCACTTGGAAGTACTAGATTGCGCAATTGAGCAGGAACGTTCTTATCAGAGGGCACATAAAATCCTCTGTGCGAACGCATTTGCGTATCAACTCTTGTGAACCAGTCTACTTATATGCACGTTGGGTACACGTAATACCATTCGAAGGTTGTCACACTAGGCCCCGCCGCGGTGGTCTAGTGGCTAAGGTACTCGGCTACTGATCCGCAGGTCGCGTTATCGAATCCCGGTTGCGGTGGCTCGATTTCCTATGGAGGAGAAAATTCTATAGGCCCGTGTGCTGAGATGTGGGCACACGTCTAAGAACCGCAGGTGGTCGAAATTTTGCGGAGCTCTCCACTACGGCATATCTCGTAATCATATGGTGGCTTTGGGTGCGTTAAACCCCACATATCAAACAATCATGTTGTCGAACTTGCGTGGAATCGACCCTTCCCAAAAGCTTTCAATGTCCCTCGAGATTTCCCTCGTAATAAGTTTCTGGGGCTTTACGTACTACGACCACGCTGCAATGATTATGAATGCCGCAGTATGCGGAAATTCTGACCATATGGAATTCTTTGGCGTGCACTGTCCCCGCACAGTAAGGGAGCTCCGGCATGTGGCCTCCATTGAAATGCGACTGCCTCAGCAGAGATCGAACTCGCGACCTTTGGGTCAGCAGTCGAGCACCGTCACACCGCAGTGGCGGACGCTTAAGAACGTTGGCGGAACACCTATATTAAAATACAACGTTAAGTACACGCGAACACCATGGAACACTCTGGAGTCACTGGAACACACTGGAACGCAATTAGATGCGCAGATCAGTTTTTCGGTAACCAATAATTGTTGGCCTTAATCGTTCAGTCACGTTCGGTTCTTCTAGGCTCAAGTTTACCCAATAATGAGATCAATGCTTGTGGCTATTGCAGGAGAGTTCTTCCCTGCCCCAACAGGGAAACGATATGACGTTACTTTATCTATATCTGGCGGGCACTTCCATCTGCGCTCGTGCCATTTACACAGTGCAGCTGCATATGCATATTCTTATCAGAGAAAAATATTTTTAGTAGCCCCATTACAAAAGCTAGGAATACAAGTAAATTTACCAGTAATTTTATCACTTGGCGGAGCTTCATTTGGTTACTGCCACAGGGATGTATGCTCCGCCGTGTTTGACTACATCAACGCAACTAAAAGATTACCATGCTAGTGAACCACTAGCTTTTCAGATCTTTAGTTTATAATTCATAGTAATGTCTTTCAAAAACAAAAGATGGTTTGACCGCTTGCTCAGCACACATTTTTGTTTTTTTGGTAGTATTATTTTACGCTACTTTTTCAGATTGGCTTCATTTTTAGTTTAGTTTCATTTAAGTATCCTGCCGCCCGGTTCTTGGCCCATCCCCCTTTGTGGGTAAGCGCCATCCATCAGAGGTCATCAGCATCAGCATCAGCATATGCCGAGGTGAAACGGATGTCCCTAACGCATATATGTGTCGCAGAAATCGGATAAGCCTCACTGCCTTAGGTGGCGGACTTCAAGGACAGTTTTGGCAACGTTTATAGATGCTACAAACGCTGGTTTTGGGGACATTAATGAATCTACAGTAGAAACAAGTAGGAAAATGCCAGAATATTGGTTGTGTTCAACTATGGAGAAAAACGTCGCGAGCAGTTAGGTCCTAAGGTCCATAATGTCTACGTTGAGGTCTGCGACTGCTATAAAAGACAGACAGACAGACAGGCGGACGGATGCACGCATACAGGGATGGACAGATGGAAGAACGGACAGATGCACGGAAGTTCCATTTTCTAACAATGTGCGCGCTGTGTAGGCTCTGTATACGGTATTGCGAACAGATGTTTCGCATTTGCGTTTAGATTAGGTACGACGGCAAGCCCTGACGACAAAAGTCGGACATTGTGTGACCTGAAAGTCAGAATTGATAACTCGTCAGTGACATAGGCAGGAGAGGCTCAAGAAGGCTAATAAGAAGCTAGTCGGGATTTGCCGCCATCAGTACATCCAGATATGAAACAAGATGCAACGGAATGTTTCGCGACGGGCCACATGTAGCTGGTTATGTCCAAATACTTCCTCAGGATCTGGGGCACATTAATTGGAGGAGACCATCTAACTTCGATGTTGGGTTTCAACGACAGTTTAGGGAGCATAAATGGATACACAGTGCAGACAAGTAAGAGGGGACTGGGGGATTGGTGAAAGGAAATTATGAAGAAAGCCACAATTCAAAACTAGTTAATAGCCTAAGCAGTAAAGGCTAATAGAAAGTAGGCGGCATTTGCTGCCACTCTTCTAATACCCATCTAGCAAGACAATCCAGATACGAAAGAGAACGCGACGTAAGATTTAGTGACAGCTACATGTAGGTTGTTACATCCGAATACTTCCTCACAATGAGGCCGTTCGGCAATGGCAAGCTGTTGGCTATCCATTGATAAGGCTATCCGTTGATATCTGTTGATACATCACTACGCTGATTGCGTGTGCGCCTGTTCGTGTGTCCATGGCGTGGCACTTGTGCGCTGGCTACAAAAAAAAAACATATTTTTATCGCAGTGTTAGGTTGCATTATATCTACTGAGGTGCCACTGACGCGTCGAATGAAGCAGCAAGTCGCTGCCGTCAAGTTCGTCTGGTTTCCGTCCTTTTCAAGTTACGACGTGTAGCTGAGAGCGGTTAGCAACAGATGGAGGGCGCCAGAAAGTCCAAGTCCACAGGTTTTCAGCGTCGAAGAGTGAGTCCTCCTGTGAGGTTGTTTTTTTCTTTACTTTTACTTCTTTCGACGTCCTCATTTGTGTGTTGAGGCATCGCCGTTTGGAAATCGTATCATGTCTGTCATTCGGAAGTCTCAAAAATAAATTCGTGCACATCACGGCGGCTTGGTGGTGTTGGTGCTGCGTTGCCCTACACAAGAGGGCTGGTTCGGTTTGCGACCATGGCTGTGCCATTACAACTGGCTCCAATCTCGAGAACGCACATTGGACCAACATTATTCCGGGGCGAGGCAAAGAAAGCAAAGAGGACAACACGAGAGGCTTTCCTTGCCTCGCCTTTAGTTTCACGTTTCTTCTGGCACCTTCGTGCTCACGCTGCAGCCCTTTTTACCATGAATTCTAACCAACTAGCCCAAATAGCCGTTCTTGTCCAATACTACGGCGTGCATGGCAAAATCCTCTCGCGGCTCTTGTACAGTCGTCAGAATCGTTAGCAGCGTGGCGTGAAATGATTTGACACTTGTGCCGCGTACGTCTGGGCTGTGTTGCCGAGATCCTACGCATGTCTTATGTCGACATGTATGTATGTCGACATACCATTCAATGATACCGAAGTGTTATCACGACAACAGCACCCAGCGTTGCGTGACTGGCATCACTACAACCAGTCCAGGTGCCACTGCGGAGCATCTTATTTGTGCTTGCTGGTGACTGTACGTGCCAACATAAGAGAACGAAAGTTCGTTAATTGAGCACGCCGCAGTGCTACGAAGCTCTGCCGCTTGTATAGATAAAGTGTGACACTGGCCTTGTTTCATGACGCAATTGATGGCTTGAAGAGCAGCGTTGGCATCGCTTCTGCGATGTCAAAGCTGCTCTTCAAGCCATCTATAGGACATCAATTGTGAACTGCAGCCTGCTCTGCCTCACCGTGCACTCTGACACCCGTTCTGCTTTGTCTGGCCTGACTATCGCATGCGATAAACTGATTTCACTGCGTTTTGTGCGTTTTAGACGACACAAGCTTATAGATAACAGCGTCTATCCGAAAAAAAAACTCCCAAGCATTTCCCCGAGGGTGAACATGGTTATGTGCGAATGCACGGGGTGATGCTATGCGGGGTAGTAAAGTTAAAATCCGTTGGCGACGCTGATATCGGTGTCAGTAACGCGCCTTATATCCAGATGGTAGCGTTGCCTCCGGGACATCCATCGCGCGACCCGCTCTCGACGGGAGACTGAGAGAGAAGGCGGGCGCGCGAGAGAGAGGGGTGCGCGCGCAGCTGAAGCGAGCGAAGGGGGAGGGGGACTATCAGCGTCGCGTCCGTGGCTTATTCGGTAGAGCGTCACGCTGCGGCCCGCCATGTCCTCTTTCTTTTAAAGATAGAGAGAAGACTGCGGACGCCGCCGACGGTGGGGGATGGTTTGGGGTCGCTTATAAAGTGTATTCACACTTAAAACGCGAAATACTTATATTCACAACGCTAAATGGTCTGACACTTGTCCTGTTCTTTATGAAGAAACAAATGGTAATAAGGGGGGTAGCGCTCGTTGGAAGGGTAGTTAGGGCGAGAAAGAAACCACTATGTCGGTCGTAATGTATGATTGTCGCTCACGCAATCATAATCGCTCACGCAAGCATAACGTCGCTCACATTATGATTGACTTGTTGCGACAAGCAACACGGTGTCGCCCTCGGAGTAGAGTGCAGGGGCGCACGAACGTTGGGAAATTGTACATTATTCCTTACCACCCGTTACTCATAGTTGTCTCGCGTGATCAAAGGAAATCAAAGGGAGGGTTTGTTTTGTGCATGCTCAGTCTCGGCGCTTAGTTTTTTTTTCTGAAGTCAGAAAGCACCATTAATATCAAACGAGCACCTGGACCTGAGGGGCTGCAACGAAAGCTCGCTTCACTGCGTTGCACTTCTCTCCGCGTACGTGCGTCAGCTCGTCCACATTAATCGCGACGCCATTGGTCGACCACCGTAAACAGTGGGACGCGGCATCAGGTTTACGCTCCGCGTGCTCTTTCTCGCTGCAGCTACAAAAGCCTCCCCACGCGCGCAGCGGAACAAGCGGAGCGTACTGAGCGTACGTGAACGTACGCTTTTTTTTTTTTGGCTCACACAGACACACACAAAAGCAACGAATCAACCCAAATCAACGCGAAATAAATAAGCTGCGCGCAGCAAAGCCAGCGTGAAAGACGGCATAACCGCTGCTGTTTAACTTGCCGTTGAGTCTTTTCGGTTGG